TGGCATGAAAGGTTTTCTGTAGAATGAACAAACGGCTAAATGACAAATCACGACTTATGTCTTGCATATACTTCCAATGAAAAAGAATGGAGAGGACTTCACCTACTGGAGACCTCTTCCCTGATCCTGTCCTCTTTATGGGACCCTCTTTTCAGCCTACGTCAAGTTAATGATATAATTCAGATGCGGGGTATAAACTCCACAAACACACGGCATTGCAAAACTACAGTTCGAGGGGACTTCACAAAGCTCATAGAAAACAAAATATTAAAAAAAAAAAAAAAAAAAGAAGAGGAAAAAAAAGGACCAGCAGTTAGAGTAATTGCTATGTCGCTGGACTCCCATGTAGTCGACCCTGGATCAAGTCCCGGACCTGGCAGCTTAAACTCATGCCAGGTGTGTGTACATGTGTGCCCAAGATCCCGAGAGGAGAATGGAGGAGAAGGGATTGTGGTGTGGCCATCCTCCCTGGGGGGTGATTTCTCGCTTTCTGTCTCTCTGTCTCTTTCTGTCTTTCTGGCAAGTGAATGTGCCCTAAAGCAAAAACCTCTCTAAAAAAAAGAAGAAAAAGAAAGAAAAGAAAAAAATATTAGTTTATTTGGGTGCAAAAACAAAATTTGAAATCCATGCATAGGTCTTCATAAAGTGCATATTCCATAAACTTCTTGAAGACCCCTCTGTACAATAGTTAATTCTGCACCAATCTAAACTAACCATCTCCTTCCAGAATGTTCTTCTCAAGTACAATTTATTTATCATTGGCAGCACCGAGTTAAAAAAATTTCTTTTCTTCAGTTCTGGTCCCAGCTGGTAGAATTTCATTACAGAAGTCTGGCTCCAAACTTAGCAAATTTTTTTTTGCAATTGGGAAAACATTTTGAAAGAGTAAACAGGAAAGGAGAATAGACAGAGAGTGTCTTTGACTCTACACAAAAATGATAGATTCCAAACTGAGCTGGTAGAAATTGCTCAACGAACATTCAGGATTTTCACCAGAGGACTCAGCATGTTGGATGGAAGAACCCAGGGAGAGAGTACTCTGGATGCAGCTAGAAATGACTGCTCAGTCCCGCTCTTCAGAGTGGGTTGGGTTAGTGTGGCCAAAATAGCCTAGCAGGGAAGAAGATTGGGCCCCTGAGGAGAAAGATTTAAGCAGCAAAATCACTGCTTCTGAAATTCTGTATCCTGACTGCATGACTGTATTACTTAGGGAAGGTTTTAAAATGAGCAATTGTCAAGACCTCACTGTAGAGTAATTTAATCCTATCTCTGGAGGTTGAAACACAACCATGAGTTCTTTTTCAAAGTAATTCCAAGCAAATTCTCAAGTCCAATGTTCATCCAGGGCTGAGGAACACTTTGTGAAGCCCTGAGCTCAGAAGTTATTTTACATATTTTGCAGAGTTATAAGTCTTGCGTAACCTTAAAGCTTACATTTTATTCATAATCATGTTTTGCCAATACTAATCCCATGTTGACTGCTTTAACAATATAACTTCTGGAGACCAGCAGTTGGCATAATGGCTATGTTGCTGGAATCCCATTGTAGTCAACCACGGTTCATGTTCCGGACCCGGGGGCTTAACACTCACGCTGGGCGTGTGTGCGTGCGTGCCCAAGATCCCGAAAGGGGAATGGAGGAGAAGGGATTGTGGCATGGCCATCCCCCCTGGGGGGTGATTTCTCGCCTTCTGTCTCTCTGTCTCTCTCTGTTTGGCGAGCGCACGTGCCCTATAGCAAAAACTTCTAAAAATATATATATATATATACATTTGTATGTATGTGTGTGTATATATATATAACTTCTCTCTGAGCATATAAAACTTACTGTATTATATCTGCTGCAAGTGAGCCAAACAAGCTGATAGCTAGTAGGCTCTGGGACATTTCTCCTTCCAAACTTGACATCTGGAAGCTAAGATAATAATTATTTTGAGGCTTTAAAATAAGGGCCCCTGAAATTCTTCTTAGAGACACAGATCTTGCTCTGTCTCCTCTCTTTACAAGAATCCATGTGATAAGACAGAGATAGCTGGAGATTCGGTCCAGTCGGGAAAGTCTTTGACCTTCATTGCTGATGACATCATGACATTCCAGATCCACTCAAGTGTCACTTTGGGGGACTTGTCTCCGGAGCCAAGTGGAAGAGTCCTCCCATGGACACACAATGTTTGGTTTGTTATTAGCACAAGTACGCTCATATGACCTCCTTTCTTTCTTTTACTTATTTATCTGACTTCTATGACTATTTGCCAATTATCTCTCTCTATATATATGTATGTGTGTGTGTGTGTGTGTGTTAGAAAGTGAGTTGATTTGCTCTTTTTTCTATTTGGCTTGTCATTTGAATTGCGCATGAAAGAACCTGCCTCTTACACAAAGTGGTTAAAATTGCTGCCAGGTATTGGGGAAACCAAATCACCTTTGTTGGTCCAGATGTGACACCAAGTCTACAGGTTAGCACTTACTGAATTCCATTCTCTGTCTCCAGGAAAATTTTCTCTGCTTTGGCTCTCTGAAGTACTAGAATTACTCCTACAGGGACCTCAGCTGCCATTCAATTGGTACAATGTGTCCCTTGAGCACTTCAGTACGTCCCTTTCCCTAGAGACACTGTCTTTCTACTGTTTTATTTCTTCAGGCTTCATATCCACTCTCACCTTGCTCCTCAAAATGTGACCTACAGGGTTGCACCATTCGTATTACTTGGAACTTGTTAGAAATGCAGGTTCTTGGGCCCGACCCCAGAGTCCTTGAATTAGAATCTCTTTTAACACAATCCCAGTGATTCGTGTGCACATGAATGAACAACGTTGCTCTGGATAACACATTAGCCTTTGAAAATCTGAATCATTTCCGATGATTTTCCTGTCTCTTCTATATCTTTTCACTCTATTCTAGTTTTCTTAGAATCGTGGTGTTTCTGAGTTACAGAATACAAGAGATGGACTGTACTGTAAGGATAAATTAGTCCAACCCCTTCATTCAATGGATCAAATAAGTTGACCATTTCAAGGTTAAATCTCCTCACTTAATGAAGAGGAAGTTCCAGAATGTCCACAAGCTTAATTATAACAGATTATTTACTTTGGTAATTCATATCTATGTTTCAAGGTATAAGTAGCTTTGTGGATTACCACTGAATATTTTAAATTCTGAGAACCATACATGCATTTTAACAGAAATACACTCAGTCTACAGTTCATTATCTCAGGACATCTAACTCTTTAAAGTATAAAATAGGGCTATTCAGTTACATGTATTAACAGCTCTGAGATTCATACAATGGCTACACTATAACATTAACAACCTCTGGAGTCAAACATGGTACTAATTTGTAGGTGCTATCTTTGAGCTTACCGCCTAACTTTGACAGCAGGGCCACAGCTTAGATGCTTGTACTTGATTCCTAGTACAGATGGTTTCCAACTTACAATGGTTCGTCTTAAAATTATTTTGGCTTTATGATGGTGTGAAAATCATACATATGCAATAGGAACTATACTTTGAGTGCCCTACAACCATTCTGTTTTTGACTTTTAGATACAGTATTCAATAAGTTCCATAAGATACTCAACACTTTATTATGAAATAGGCCTTGTGTTAGATCATTTTGCTCAACTGTAGGCTAATGTAATTGTTCTGAGCAAGGCTAAACTACAAAGTTTAGTTGGTTATTATGCTATTTTCAATTTTCAATTCAAGACATAACCCCATCATAAGTTGAGGAGCATCTGTATAATATCGCAACTCTACTTCTCTTTCCATTTGATTGAAACATACCTATGAACCCTAACACTTTAGCTGATAATGAGTACTATGATATCTTCAAGGATAGCATTTTTTTAGGGCTGGATCACTTCAAGACAGCCATTCCAAATTTTAACCATCAGGAAGACCAGTTTAAACACAGATTATTGGACTAACTTTCAGAGATTGCAATTTTAGAGATCTAGGGTAAGGTCCCAAAATTTGCATTGCTAACAAGTTCTAGGAGATACTGCTGCTATTCTTCAGGGACTACATCAGGCAGAATCACTTCCCTGGGGTTGTCCACTTGTAGACTAGCTCACTATATAAAGTCAATCTTGAAGTCTCAGACCTTCTATTAAAAACAAAATAACAACAACAACAGAACTTTTATCTTCAGAGGAATAATTGCCTCTACGTGCTTCCTAAACTAGAAATTCGTAAGTGGACACCTACTCTGTTTTATAGATAGAACACCATGGCCCTGGCTTTCTGTGCTATTGCTTATATTCCTTGCTCTTGCTCCTCTACTCAGTCCACTCCAGTCCTCCCCCCCAACCCCCTGATTTCTCTGAATGACTCTTTTTTAGAAAGGTCTTTGCCATAGGGCACATGTGCTTGCTGGAGAGAGAAAGACACAGTGAGAAATCACCCCCCAGGAGAGGCAGCCATGCTGCAATCCTCCTTTTCCATTCTGCTCTCAGGATTTGGGGCATGTATACACACACACCAGTGAGAGTTTCAAGCCCTTGCGTTTAAGATTCGAACTGTAGTCAGCCAAGGGGGACTCTAGCATCCTAACTATGACACCACCTGCTAGCCCCTTGACTCTCCTTCTTCCTCCTCTATCACTACCATTCTTTCTCTGCTAACATCAAGGTGAGCCTAAAGTCTCCTGTTCCATGAGACACTGACATCCCACTTTCCATTTGCTTATTGTACTCAGGTATAGGGCTTCGTTCCTTGAAACTTCATTCTAGGTCCCCCTTTCTCTAAGGCCATCTATCAATGCAGCAACGTAGGCAGCTATTCAAATCTTTTCCACTTTGACTTCACTTATCCCTCTTAAATCTAATAGGATTTAACTCTTTTAAGTTCCGCTAATGTTCCAGTAAATTTTCTAAAGCCTACCACGAGATTACTACCCGAGTTCTCTTATTTATGGATGGTATTGTTTTCAACATGGAATTGAAAAGGGAGTAATTCTTGGTCTAATAGCAACTTCAAAGAGAAATAAGTACAGGGCTTACCATGAATGAACCATTGCATCTGAAATCCTTTCTCGTGGTAGCCAACCCCATCGGTATGAAATAGCACTTGAAGCCTGGAACTCGTGGTGCTCCCTGGAGGAGGTGTATTTTCTCCACAGTAGCGCCCAATCCGCTGTGCTCCATCATAGAGCTGAAATAAAAAAGAAACTTCCCAATGTAAAAAAGCTTCACATGGTTTGTCAGGAGGAAACAATCAAGTCCACTGATGTAGCAAAAAGCTGTTTCTCGTTCAAAGGTTAGAGTTAAATCTGCTGAGGTAATTTAAGTACGTGAGGCTTAACACAAGAACTAAGAAACGACAATTGCACAGAGAAGGTTTTAGAAATGGGTCTGATTCTAAGCCAAATAAGTTTGGAAATCCAACTATTAACAAGTGGTTTTAAGTCAACCTAAAAATTATAAAGTATAACCCAGCCACAGAATAGGAAAATAGTAAATGGAATGAACTACATTCACCTTTTCACCTTTTTCTTTTTGTTTTATTCTCTTTTTATAAGGTTTTTGTGATACTCTGTTACTGAGCACTCCAGCAGCCTGGACACACCCAGTCCACTGGGAGACTTGTGCCTGGTCTCAGCAGGCCTCTTCTTAGGAGTGCACCCCAAGGCCCTGGGTGTAATTTTATAACTTTTGTTACTCCATCACCCAGCACTCTAGCAACCTGGGTTCACCCCTCCACCAGGAGACTCAGGCCTGGTCTCAGCAGGCCTTCTCTCGTGAGTGCACCCGCTGGCCCCAGGAGTAACTTTGGAACTTTTGGCACACCAGCCCACTGTGCCCAGTGCAGCATGTGATTTGATCCTCTTCACTATGTTATATCTCCTTAGCTTGCTACCACCTCATTTAGGGCTGAACGTTTGGCAGAAGAGCTAAGTTCCTAAAGGTACCTATAACTGCTCAGATCTGGGACACACAGGCCTCCAAAAGAAACGCATCTGGAACTCAGGGTGTAATTTCCTTTTCTAATAGTACAGAATCTACTCCAATAAATAGGAAAAAGTGAATACTGCATCAGATGACCAAAATCAGTACAGATCTCAAAAATACATGAGGGACCAGCAGTTGGCGTAATGGCTATGTTGCTGGACTCCCATGTAGTCAACTGTAGTTCAAGTCCTGGACTGATGGATTAAACTCACTCTGGGCACGTGTGCATGTGTGCCCAAGATCCTGAGAGGAGAATGGAGGAGATGGGATTGTGGTGTGGCCATTCTCCCTGGGGGGTGATTTCTCGCTTTCTGTCTCTCTCTGTCTTTCTGGTGAGTGCATGCACCCTATAGCAAAAACCTCTCCAAAAATAAAAAATAGAAGTACAAATCAAAATCACAATAAGGCACCACTTAACCCCAGTCAGAATGGCTAAAATTAAATAAATAAATAATGATAAATGCTGGAGAGGCTGTGGTGGAAAGGAAACTGTCCTACACTATTGGTGCGAATGCAAATTAGTAGAACCACTTTGGAGATTGATATGGCGATTCCTCAGAAACCTACAAATAGAACTACCATACAACTCACTAATTCCACTCTTAGGTATTTATCCAAAGGATAAAAAAAATCCTCAGTCAGAAAAACACTTGACATCCGTGTTTATTACAGCATTGTTTACAATTGCTAGGATATGTAATCAACCTGAATATTCAAAAATAGACAAGTGGATTGAAAAAAATGTGACATGTATACTCAGCTATACAAAAAAAAAAAAAAAATGAGACCATGACATTTGATACAAAGTGGAAGACTTAGTTAAGCAAAGCAAGCCAGACTATGAAAGACACAGATTTTGTATGTCCCCACTCAGTATATACCAAATGTTTGCACTATATAGCAGAAACTCCAAGTCTGGAAGGTATAGTAGTAGGAGGGCAGCTGTGGATAGTAGAGAGAGTAAGTATAGGGATAATATGTGGGTGAAGGAGTAGGGGAGGGAGGGATCAGGAGAAAAAAATAATAGGTTTAACTGACACAAAAATGAAAAGGTATTTGCTGCTGCTGATGTATATGGTGGTGTCTTTATCTTTACTGATATGTTCCATATTAGTGCTGGAAAAAGCAATGTTGTACACTATAACAATATATAGTTGTGGAATATAAATTTTAAAAATATATAAAAATAAAAATAAAAAAGGTTTTAGCCATAGGGCACATGCACTCATGAGAGAGAGAGAAAGAGAGAGAGAAAGAGAGAGGAGAGAAAAAGAAAATAAATCACCCTCCCCGCCATGGGGCATGGCTATGCCACAGTCCCTTCTTTTTCATTCTCCTCCTTGAATTTTTGGGCATGCACACACACGCCCCCAGTGTGATTTTAAAGCCACTGGGTCCAGGACTTGACTGCGATTAGCACATGAGAGTCCAGTGCTATAATTACTACACCATCTGCTGGCTCCACTACCTTCACGTATTAATAACACATGAGATATTCAATGAATAGCAGCTGCCATCATTGTCAAGACACATTTTTAAAAAATAAATACTAATGGACATCTTAGAAAGGTATGGAAAAAGAAAATTTAAAGGTTAATTCCACTGAACATAAACACTGTTAATATTTTGTTAATATCGGAAATTTCTCCTCAATATCTTTATACTTGTACAGGTGTGCGTGTCTGTGTGTATAAATGTGGATTACAAATGTAATTGTGTTCCCTGTTATTATCTAAGCATGGCACTAAATAGTTTTTGTTAAGATTTCTAACAATGGCATAAATGTCACTAATATGAGGGAACTTTGAAAAGGTCATGGAAATGTGAAATTAAAGTATATAATTATTGTGGTGCAAAAAATAATCTTTGAAAGCCATACAGTTTTTGTTTAATATGTATTTTTCCGTGAATTTTTTGAAGACTCCCTCATGTACTGTTACATTATGATTTTATTGTGGTTAGATATTTCCATTTATTTGTCAGTATAGACATTTGTTTGGCATTTTACATGTTTATTTTAAAAGACTTCTATAAAGGTAACAAACAAGGGTGTAATCTTTTGTGGTCTTTGATATAATATTATTAAATATCTTACCAGAAATTTATATCAATTTATATTTTCACCAGCAATTTAGAGAGATATTTCTTTTGATGCAACTTTGACAATTACAACAATTACCATTTTTAAAACTGGTGCTGATAGTGAAAAAATTTTTTTTTGTAATTGCCTTAACTTGTGTTGATTTGATTACTTTGAGGTTGAAACTTGTTTGCTTGTTCGATTTCATGTTTATTGGGCATTTATATTTTTTCCTTGAAATTTTTCTGCCCATTTTTTTCTATAGGTATTTACTCATTCTGGTGTGTACCTTTTATCTGCCTCTTTTAATAATTTCACCAGACATACAGCTCCATGCTGAAAGAAAAACATAAGTAACCCTAACCCTCTCTACCGTCTCTCTTTATTTGGGAAAGATAATGATCATCCAGAAAGACTGGCTTCCTCATGACTGACTCAGGCCATCATAGAGTCTCTTAATCTTCTTGAAGTTCACATGAAACACTTTGCTCCAGTCACCATTGAAATGAGCTGCCCATTTCAATAAAATGGAAAAGACCAATAATAAACTCATGACTTCCTTGATGATTCTCTTGGAGAGCACACGTATGTAAGAGTATATGTATGTAATATTTGCATGTGTCTGTGAGTAATTATGTCATCTAGATTCAATCAATTCTAGGCTGATCAAATTACTTTTATTTACAGAAATGCTTTGACATAAAATACTGTTTGAAACACTTTTGAGCATGGAAAACTTTATAACCAAATTGTATACAGCACCTCAATGCAGCCTTCCCTAATCCCTAGAGTCAGGCATAAATTAGTTTCCTTTGAAACGCCACAGCTTTTCATCTGTATTCCTTCTGTGGAAATAGTCACATCCCCTTGCATTCTAGTCACAGGCATGTATGTCTTATCTCCCCTACCGACTATGAGGGTTTTTTTTCCCTTTTTTAGAGCACAGACCACTGCTGTCCTTCCCCTCACTGCCCAGAGCAGGGATTTAATGAGGGCAGGTTCCCAACATCTTCAGTGAATAAACACAAAGATTTCTTCTACAAATGCACTTATTTTAATAGGATTTAACCTGCACTGTTACTAGAATGCTGTATAGTTAGATAGGTGTTAGGGTCCTAAATTTTAACATGTTCTTTTCGGGCAATGTAATGCCTGGATCCTTTGTGGCCATGCTGCAGGAGAAACCAAGCGCGCTTTGTTCAATGTCAGAAAAAAATAGCAGATTTCTAAATTTTGACCTGTCTTGAGTTTTTGAATTAGCTACTCATCAGACATACATGCTTGTGAGATTTCGGGAATGTTGGCAGAGGTTTTAAAAAAGCAGCTCAGAAGTCCATTCACCCTAAGTACTGAGACTAAGTATTTTAAGCAAACGACTAAAGATGAGATTTATTTTTTTAGAATTATGATTTTCACTTTTTTAAGACTACAGTTGCTTCAAGTGTATGTTCTTATTATCGAGTTTCTAATATTGTTTGGATTTGGTAGACGTCATAATGAAGGACAGGGATTGAGAGAAAGAATAAAACAACATAAAAAGAAAAGTGAACAAGAACAAAAGCCCTTCACCTCATATCTCACCCTTTCACGTGGGGGGCAGGGAGGAAGCGGAGGTCAGGGAAGAGGCCAAGATTGCAATCTGTGTGTTCCTAAATCACCACTTCACTGTAGGATATCTACCCGCTTCTGTTTCCATTCACGCTGGTGTATGATACCCAGTTTGAAATGAGTTAATATTAAACCGAGTATATTGTCCTCAAATAGAAGCCTAACAAGCAAGAAAACATGGTCTTCCACCTCAGAAGGTTTATTCTCAACTCTGAACCAAAACTTATATTATTTCACCTTTATTCAAAACACAGAAGGTACGCTTTTCCTACAACCAGCAGCTCAGGGAGAGCTTTTGAAACAGTAGGCTCAGGTTGAGGGATAGTTTGATTCCACACAAGGTCACGAACAATGTAGTGTTTTTGCCTCTCAGCTCAGGAAGGTTAATAGATCTGACATTTTCACATAACTTAGAGGGGATTTTTATTCTTCCTTCCGGATAAGATTACTTCAGTGACTAAGAGCCCCAGAAGCCCGCCCCAGCCATTCAATGGTCTTAAATAACACATTGTGAG